ATCAGCAAAGTATTAAAACTACAATATGAATCTCTGTGCAATACTGTATTAATAAAGTTCAGGGAAAGCTGGCAAAAATGCAGACTCTGTGAGGTAACATATCGAGCAGTATCACAGCTCTTTCTCAGACTGTTAACACCTGGTGGTGTAAACGTTCTGAGAGCAGTGAGTAAATACAAAAGCATAGACTTCTTACAAATTAATATAAAGTCCAAATTTACAAATAGTTGCCCTTTTTATCTATCATATATAATATAAAAAAATAAAATTGTTATAAACTTTAAAACCAATACACAGAGCTGTTTTCTAAGGACTGGTTGATCTTTTTGTCTCAAACATAACCTGCTCCAGGTCTACAGCATAAAAATCATGTACCTCTGTGTGACTAAAAACCCAGGTTTAATCATGAAGTTATCGAGATAAGCCCATAATCCTGCTTTAGTGCTCTGGTGGATGTTAGGAGGGTTAAAGTCGGGCTGATGTTGCTGGACGTTTGAGTTCTCAGGTTAATGGCTGCAGCGTACGTGTGAAAACAACAGAAATAGGAATGATAATAAAATCATATCTTCATATTTTTATTTCTTCAAGGTGGAAAATACACAGAAGGCATCATAAAATAGTTGAAAGCAGCAATAATTCACTGTCAGATTCACAGTGTTTAACATTCATCGTCCTCTCCTCTGGTTGGCAGCGCACTCTGGCCGGCTGGGCAAAAGTCTTCTGGGTTGCCGCTGGGATCAACGCGGGCGGTGCCGTCATTTACACGTTACTTGGCAGCGGCAAGCTCCAACCATGGGCCCTCACTGAGGAGGAGCGAGCTGAAGCTGAGAGGAAGAGGAACAGGTCCATCTCACATTAAAGCAGAAATATGCATCAGCAGCAGAGCCTTTACTCAGGCTTTAAAGACACATATACGGTCAGCTAGTTTTACACAGTTTTCTGATTTTAGAGGAACGTGTCTGGAGGTTTAATCTGTAAATTCAGGTATAAATTAAGGGACTTCATGCAGTATTCACACTTCATGAACCAATAATGACTTCAGAGGTACAATATGCTCTTCTTGTTTACGAGGTGAGCTGATAGACTTATTTTTACGGTAATTCCAGCAACTATATTACAGCTTATGGAGCATTTAAAATTTCCTGTTAGGCACATTTTTAACCCTTTAAATTCGCTGGGAGGTGAAATTTCAAGGGTTAGAATGTTATCACTACTTTTAAGAAAAGATTAGTTTTGGTGCAGATGACATATTCGAACACGTGCTGCCTTTTAATAATCAGGAAACACGTTTACTCTTGTTGATAAAGTTTTAATCGTTTGTATGTGAGTTTTGTTTAAAATTTTCCGGGTGATTTTGTTTCTTTGCACCTGTTTGATACTTCAGGTGAGACCAAAACATATCACTTTTTTTAAAGTTATTTTGGTTTTTCTTTTAATTTTACCTTGAACAAGGTACAGTTTGGAACAAAATGCATATTTTGCACAACAGGAGGGTCACTCCACATAAAATATACATATCTGGGGGGAAAAAACCACCATCGGGTGATTTTTCTTTAAAGTAAAATAACTTTTATAAATTTAATGAAGCTTTGAATCTTCATGCTGTGAATATTTTCTGGGTTACAGGCCATCAGAGTACACAGGGATGTGTTAAAATTTTGGGCTACTTTTTAAGTCACTTAATTTTTTTCCCCAGCATTTTTTAGCCTTTTTAACCTACATACAGGATATATCCACATTTTTCAGGATCGGTGTCATGGGTTATATCATAGCTCAATAGGAAACAACAATTTAATATCTTTGATGTAGAGGAACAAGAATGATCACTGGATGTTTGACCTGTTTTCTTATAATTCAATGGAGATATCTGCATTTTGGGTATACTTTCAAGCACCATATGACCACGTTTTACGGGAGGCTGATCTAAACAAATTATATTTCATGAAAGTTCTAATTTTTCCCCACATTTTGATACCAGCATCATCTTCTAGCTCAGATTTCTTCTGTGTTAAAAGAGAGAAACAACGTCTTGCTCTTTGTAGTTGTTTTGACATGCGCAAGTTTGGGTCCTGAAGAATGTTTTTAAAGGTAAAACTGAAAGCTTTGCCTCCAGCTCAGCTCTCTCTTCACCACAACAGTCATGTTCAAAGTCCATCTCACCAATCTGTCAGCCCACCTAACCCTCCACCGTCCCATCACTCATGGATAAAATCCTACCTCGCCTGGGGACTCCTCTCTCCTCCCACTCAGAGTTAAAGATCCTCCGTTTTCAAGCAGGGAACCACAGCCTCAAACTCTCATCCTGGTTATTTCACCTTTCCTGTTCAGTTTCTGTCAGTTTCCTTTGGGATGAGACGGCTTCAGACAGGAACATCGAGCTGCTGTGAAGCTGCCTTCAGTGCGGCTTCCTCGCCATCTCAAAATTATCCAAATCTTAACCCACCCTGTGTACTTTGGGAGCCTGTAACTCAAAAAATACTCACAGTATAATAATAAAATTTTGCATGGTTTCATTAAAGATATGAAAGTTATTGGACATAAAAATCAGCTGATTTTGAGGGGCTCAGGTGGGAGACACTGACTGATTTTTCATGAAGTGATCCTCTTATTAGTTTGTCGCACAGCTTCGTCTTTGACTGCTTTGTTTGCAGTTTTCTGACCACTTCTACAGACTGTTTATTAGGACCAACAGAAGCACTTTTCAATGACACGAATACTCAGGATGTTTTATTCTGATAAGAGTGCCAAAGACACGTGAAACCTTACATTTTAGATTGGAGTTTCTTCACTTGTTTTTAAGACTTAAAGCACCTTCGGGTGCTAGCATTTGCAGTGTTTGTAATCATATGGGTTTGCTTCAACAGTAAGAAGCTTCCTTTTATAAACTACAGTGATTATTTTTTCTATATGATCTAGGAAATACCATCATGCAGTTTTTCAAAGAGCACTGTGATTGTAATGATGTGATGATTTATTCACCTCCTCTGTGCTTTAAAAATGTGTGATGTCATGAAAATGTGTGCTTTTATTTTGAAAATAATTTTGTTTTTACTTGGATTACCTGAAAATTAAAGTGAGTGGCATGTAACCCTCGTAATGTCCTCCCATACTCCTTCTGTCCTCTGATTTGACTGTTATGTAAAACATATGGTATAAATTGTCAATCAGTTCTGTGTTACAACTTTAGTCTTACTTCGGTCCAGTGCATTACAACAAAATTTTCTCTTCATTTTGGAATTTGGGGCCTAATTTCCATAAACGTATATATCATGTTTTTGAGTGAAAATTAAATGAAACATTGAATTATTTTGACTATTTAAATTATCACAGAGTAGTATATATCAAAATTTAGTGAGGATGCTGTTTTTGAATCATTTGATAATCACACCTGTTGTCCTCTGGGGTCAAAATTTATCGTGTCTGGTTTGATTGTTACGAAAAGAATATAAAGTGGATACGTCATTCAATTCTGTTACACTTTCAATTACAGCTTCATTCAAACACATTAACACAATTTCTTTATTCCATTTGAAGCTCAAGGCCAATAAGACCTCATTCACCATACTGCTTTCAAACATCTTTGATCTTGGATCATTGATGTGTGGGGTCAAACAATGTTCATAACAACAATAAAACAGGCAGCACAATGAGGAGGCAGGGGTTCTACATTCAATTCAATTTTGTTTATAAAGCACCAAATCACAACAACAGTCACCTCAAGGCGCTTTATATTGTAAGGTAGACCCTACAATAATACATACAGAGAAAGTATGGTGGCAAATTTTTTTACCATGTTTACCACAGTGAACCTAAAAATCAAAGAAAGAAGAAGATAAGGCCAGACGGGTCCCTCTCCACTTGAAGAATGAGAGATGAACTCACCGGTGGTTCCCTTTAAGCAAGGTAAAAAAAAAAAGGAGGAAGACTGGGGCCGGATTGAGAGGTTTTATACTGAATGGGAGGCAACCTGATTGACGTCACCCTCACAAGGAATCGTATCAAGAATCCACGAGGTGCGGTGGTCATCCTTGGGCCCTCATTCTCCGGGGGTCTCTGGATGTCTGGGGCCCTCCATGCCCTTGTTAGCTGCTGTCTCTGAACATATCAGCATACAGGGTGCTGTATGCTGCACAGTAGGGGTGGGTTTAAATAATCATTGTTTTGATTAAAATAGATTTTAACTTCAATAACGTGGTATCAATTCATTAAATAAAAATATACATGCGACATCTTCAGTTTTATTCGCTTTTGTTAACTACTTTATATGAATGCACCTACATCTAAGAGGCTTTGGGTCATCTATTGTTAAGTGTTGCATTATTTTACAGTTAAAAGTTACAATATGACAGAGGCTATATGATGAAGAAACTTAAAGTAAAGAAACAATCTTTTTGAAATTAAAAAAATAAAAACTATTTAAAAAATTAAAATCAGTAATAACTGTTTCTAAAGCTACATCTACAGGTATTATTATGTAAACATATGTTTTCAGTGAGATCTGAATCTCTTTTTTGAAAGAGACCTGTGTACAAATCCCCAAACAAAATAGATTACAGTCACTTTTTTATTTTGTTTTTTTTTTATATATAAAGAGACATTTATATATTCACATGATTTTACAGCAGTAAATGCCCTCTGCACAGTCAGCTTTGCTGCACCCAGTTCGTCTTTACACCCACTAGATGGCACAAGAAAATACATTTAAGGTTTGTGGCAGTTTTTTCCTTTTTGCTTTCGCTCTCTATATATTTACATAACAAAATATATTTTGTTGGGTTGATATATCACAGCCTTGCATGTTATGCAGTAAGTTGAGTTTTGGTGTTAGCATTTATCAGAAAAGAAAAGAAACAAGTTAAGAAGTATTTTCTTAACAAAAACAAACCAATTAAAACCAATTTTGAAAAAAAAAAAAACGTTTAGTTGACTGAAATAAATGTTAAAACTAACAACACTGGAAATGTGCTTGGTTTTGTAGTTTTTGCGAATTTGGTTTAAACTACACAACCTAAGAAGGCTTTGACGTATTTTATTACTGAGACATTTTATTGATACTGAGATAGGGTTTTCTACATTACTGGTTCATCAGTAATAAAACACTTTTTTATGCTATCTCTGTATCCTCGGGCTGCTGTTGGAGCTCCGTGTGTGTGTTTCAGAGGGTGTGCCGCTGGTTTCAGCGCTCCGTTGGAACTTGCATCAGACAGACCGGGAATGACCCGGATGTTAATGGTGGAGTCGGTGTGTCGTTGGTGTAACGGGAGTCATATTCGTGTACACACGTCCTCTTGCCGTCCTTTGCTATTTAACGGTTATTGATTCTAGAAAAACGTTTCTCTTTCTCGGTATTTAATACAGGATGGTTACTGCTTTTTACGTGTAATCGTGTTTGTTGTACTGACCTTGATTTACGAACAAAAGAATATCTGGCGCTAGCTTGCAAGCTAACACAATTTTTAGTAAAAGGTCGTCTGTCTGGGCTTACACTGGCTCATTAAAACGTTTTATTTTGTGTGTGTGTCGGTATTCATCTTATCGCTCTTTCACAACTATCGAACAAACCAATCCACCTGCATGTACAGGGAGTGCAGAATTATTAGGCAACGTCCTTTCCTTTGGCAAAATGGGTCAAAAGAAGGACTTGACAGGCTCAGAAAAGTCAAAAATAGTGAGATATCTTGCAGAGGGATGCAGCAGTCTCAAAATTGCAAAGCTTCTGAAGCGTGATCATCGAACAATCAAGCGTTTCATTCAAAATAGTCAACAGGGTCGCAAGAAGCGTGTGGAAAAACCAAGGCGCAAAATAACTGCCCATGAACTGAGAAAAGTCAAGCGTGCAGCTGCCAAGATGCCACTTGC